CCTTGCATCATAACTCTCAAATATTTCGTGGATCAGCGGTGCACCTACCAAATTGTGGGATCACCACCACCGACAGTATGATTCAGGAGGAGGTGATTGATGCCTCATTATACGCTTCAACCATTTTTTGCACAACATTAAATTTCATGCGGTAAAAACACACAAATTAAATGGCATATTCAGCGTCTGCCTCTTCTTTGTGGACCTTAGAACCTTAAGCAGCGCGGAGGGCTTCCGTTAGAATTGGCTATGTTGAGAATCGGCTAAAAGCGTGGCATAGGCATTAGAAGATGTTACAGATAGGGTTCCGCTCTTGAGACTGATCATCCATAGCAAACAGCAGCGCCTCTAAAACTTCGCAAGCGTTACTCATTTCAAGAGTTTATTTCAATTAAGCATATATTGCAAAGTGAGCATTAAATAAAATGTTTAAAATTAATCGATTTTAGGTAAAAGTTTGTTTACGGAAATTTGCTACGACAATCCCAAATTAACAATACTTTGGTAATGATATTTTGGTCGAAAAATGTCTTTGAGCTGATATTTCTCACGACCTTGGCACAGTAGTAAATTTCTGCCGGTCTTTATGACATGTTCTGACTCTGCTCTGTCCTTAAAATGCTTGCCGGTCTCACTTCCGACTTTGATGCCTACTTTGAAGATGTACTAACTTCGCTTTACGGTTCTCTGAGCTGCGATCTAGATTTAGTCAAGTCTCACTTCACCAGAGTAAGTCAGCGTTATTGGTCACAATATAGGTTTCGAAATACAATGTTCCGAACGGGAAGAAGATGCGTGGTCGATTTTGTGTCGCTACGTTCAAATGTTTTGCAAAAGAGAAACCGTCTGATGACTTATTGAGAGTAGCTAACTTTGTTGGCTGGGCTATTGAACTGGTACTGATGTTCGTTTGTGCATCATCCTTGTAAGATTCAAGCAGCTTTTTTGATTCATGACGATATTATTGATGATTCACCCATGCGAAGAGGAAAAGTGTCTTGGGGTCTACTTCAGCAAAGAGAAGGACATGGTTTGATAGGGATCAACGATGGGCTTCATTTATACATGTCTGCTCAGCAGCTTCTCATGGCTAGTTTCAAATCGCGGCCTCATCCTAGGAGTCTTGAGATTTTGAAACTTTTTTGTGATTGTGCTAATTACACCTGTATTGGACAGGCATTAGATATTCTCACAAGTGATCAAATGCGACCCGTCGATTCAGGTGGCGTGTCTCTCTGCACGAGGTTGACCTCCAACGGCGACCGCTTAAGAGATGCTACCGTTAGCCGATCCACTTCAATTGCGAAGTGGAAAACAAGTTATTATAGCTTCGTCCTTCCTGTTGTTGCGGGTATGCTACTGGTAGGTTTTTTGGCAGTATTCCTGGCTTTCATGTCGCAACATATTGCTATTTTTTCGCATGGGTATAGCCCTTTCTTGCCTGTGCTTTTCCCTAGGCGGACGTGAAAAGCGACGTTTTGTTTTCGAATGCGGAAAAGATTCTTCTCAAAATTGGCGAATATTTTCAGGTGCAAGTAAGTTTGCCTTGTAGTTCCTCATTTATGCGTATCGAACCCTGATACTGTGCGCATTGCCAAGTCAGGGCAAATGCATCAAGTTTGCTAACGATTCTTTGAATTCTTTATTCATAAAGGATGATTTTTTGGATGTTTTCGGAGACGAAAAGGTGACTGGAAAGGTGGGCACTGACATTCAGGAAGGCAAATGCAGCTGGCTGATCGCCACGGCTTTGGATAAAGCTTCTAGTGAACAACGAGACGTACTTTGCGTAAGTTACATTTGTTATCACAGCAACCCTGCTCCAAAATGTGGCGCGTCCATGATCTCTGACTGATTGCATATGCTTTTGTTTCATCCCTCATTATTGAGGCCCAGTTTTCATTTGCTTGGGCTCAAACCTATGTCCGATGTTGGTGAGCCTTAGTGCTTCTTATTTTAGTATTTGTTCGGGCTCTTTCTTGATTGAATTAGATTTCACAATTTTATTATTCATTGCATTATTTGTCAACTATAAGAGTAAAATATGTTGAGTAGCACAGAATTGTTAATGATCTTGAAACTAGCATTGTTTCTATGTCTGACCTTAAATACATATTTTCACATAGTAAGATGGGTAGATGTTTACCTTCTTACCTAAATTTCCACACCTTGGATTATCAGGTTTAATTTATTAGAATCGGCATCAGAAATACGACACTTCAAATTCTCGTTTCCTACCACTGGCAGTATGGGTGCATTTACAAAATTAATGCTGGCTCGGTTCAAACTGAGACATCAAAATTGGGTCATTTTTTATGAACAACTTCTGATTGATGCAAATCAAACGTTTTTAGGCTATTTCACGGCTTCCCTAACTGTTTGGTTGATTTGGTTTAATGGCGCAGCAGAACTACTTTACTATCACATTCACAGGGTTGGTAAACTACTAATCGAATCCGCTAAGTGTTATTGGCTGTGCTTTCTTTAGTAGCATCGTAATCAAGTTTTGACACTTCATGCACGAGAAGTTGGGTGATTGGAATGCAGAGTTTGTACGGTCTAAACGTGTAAATTGGCAAATAAGTCATGTGACTGAACTGCTTACTGTCGTATTAATGTTAAGTGACGTACTTCAGCATGTTCATATAGTTTATTGTTGCCAAGGTGTAAATAATAACTTCTTGTCCATTTAACCGTCACTACTACATAAACCATCATGGTTTGAGGTGCTTCGTCTGCGCACTTCTGAGGAGTTGGATGTCGCGTCACGATCGTAGTGTGGGGCATCCGCGACCAATCTCCAATTGGACGTGGATGTGGTCTTAAATAGCAAATGACTTTTTCTAGTGCTTGCGCCATTTTTACTGATAAGCGACGCTTTCGAATTCTTTTTAAATCAATTTTCATTCCCTTTTCGATATTTGTTGCTCAAATGTAAGGATGTTAACGGAGTTCCTTCCGAAGCAAAAATGTCCTACATCGCTCTAAACAACAAATTATAATTTGTCTAAGATTCACATCTGTGAGAAGCTGTCTACATCGTGGTATTATTAGCTCTGAATGATGGGTCTTATCTTTCTTCGACAAATAATACGAACTGTGCTAAGAAAGGCACACAAAGAATTCGTCTATGAGGAGCGGTGTTTTGAAATACTTGGTCGGTGCAGTACTTTTAGGCAGTAATTTTCCGAACAAATCTGCTCTCATGAAGTGTGTTACGTCAGCATTGGCTGAATGATAGCCACATTTTATGGACTAAATCACAAATCCTGTCGCAAAAGGTCGGAGTGTTTTTGGGCCTATTTTACGTCGCATGTCTGTGTGCTTACAGATGCGTTGGTTTTTTTACTGACCCGATTTAGAGGAACTATGGATTGAAAGATCCAGGCTGTGTGAATGCCGTTCGAGATATTTTTTATGAGCTCGATTTGCCAATTCTTTATTCCGTGTATGAGGATCAAGCTCGAAAAGATATTTTCGAGACCATTGAGTCGGTGAGCACGGACAAGACTGAAGACTTTACTGGTCCGGCAGCAACAAAATTACCAAGACAACTCTTCGCTGAAATTTTGAACATTTTATGTCATCGCGAAAAGTGACAAGAATACAACATTTATAACTTATATTTTACTGCTTGGGAAGAGGGTAGAGATTGGTCTTTCTATCTGTCGCTAGTATGAGTGTACGTAGTTGCCATAACTTTCATTTGCGTTTATTAATCTTGCAAACCGTTTGTAGGCATTGATGAGTCGTTTTATTTGTTCGTCTACTGTTTTTTACTCAATTTGTGTACCTAGTTCTTTCCTCACCACCACCTTTGAAGTTGTACGGTAGAGGAAGCGATTGGCCTGACACGAGATGCTATCTTGCATACAAGGGTCTTGGTTACCATGTAAGTGGTTTTGGCAAACTATTGGCATGAGTGTGTCTACATAAAGGTTAGGTGGATTTCATCAATCAATTCTTTGAAATAATAGCACGGACTGTGCCATTCTCAAACTCATTATGTTCATTGAAGGAGTGCTACCTGAGTGTCGCTGTCGCAGGACGAAATGAGGCGCGTTGGATGGGTCAGTGAATGAGCAGTGCGTGCGCACTTATGGGAGCATCGTCGGACTTGTGCCCTCAATCGGGGTTAATAGTCTATTGGGGTGCATCGTGCTTCTAACGTAAGTTGTTCGAAGCGCGTGATCGGGGTCTAATTCGTTGGGCATGGTGAATGGAAGCATCCGTCCCTTGGTCGGAGTACTTGGTCCTATCTCTGTGAAATCTTAAGTTTACCCAATCCACTGACACATCACCAATAAGTATTTGTGCGCAGTGTGTATGTGATCGGGCCTAACCTCCTCGTTGAGTACCATTTGATGAGAAAACGCTATAAATGAACTTGTTATTTTCGGCATCGATGAAAGGAGTCGGTTAATAATTTGTTACCAAA